AACGATGCCCCTTGACGGCTGTTGTGCCGTTGTCATGGAAATTTTGCCACAGGTTACGTAATCCCCCCACACCTCCCCTTGTTTCTGCAGTAACAGTTGTCAACAATCCATTGGAGTCATTTAGCCGCCCAGATAGATTTTAACTCATTGTATGTGAATTGTGAGTGTTCTGAATGAGTCTCAAGCTGTGAATCACTGTTATTTTCATATAAGATTTGGGCCTGCAAAGCTGTACCTCTTTTTGGGGGGGGGGGGGTGAAGTTCTTGACATGATGGAAATCGATAAACGGATGACAGTGGACAAGCAGGTTGTGTTCATTTATAAATTATTTTTATTTGTTCACAGCATGGTTTGTAAGTTTTTGCACAATGACTGACCATAGAGCTAGGAACACAACTGACCAAAGTGAAAATGTTAAAAAGGATACAAATTTAATAGGAGCTTTTGTTCCTTTTAAGTCGTTTTGTGTAAATATTAACGTAAGTTTAAATATCCTCGTACAACACGTGTCGACCTACATGTACATGTGAAAAGACCTACGTAAAACAGGCACACTGTTCACAACCTCAGTTTTTGGGTTCAGATTTTGACAGCAATGCACAAATAATCTGAATGTGACATTATAACCTCAAATAACAACACCCCCCAAATATAATTTATTCACTTTAAGCCTTTTTACACTGGCCCGTTATCATTGGCTTTCCACGTTATCGCATACTCAGTACTCTCCTGATTATGTTTGAGTTGTCCTAAAGTTCAACAAAGATCCTGTGTTAAATTCAAAAGTGGAACTGAATTCTTCGTACAAGGAAGTTTTCGGAACGCTCATTTTCACAAAAGCTGAATCGATTTTCCGAGAAACCAAACTCTCGCAAAATTGCAATGGAATATACATCTACGATAAATTGAATACAATGAATATTCACAAACTGAAGGTATTCGGCGCTGCCTACAGAATACCGAGTCACAGAGGATGCAATGTATCGCCAGTATTCCACGCATGTATGGCTAGTAATTTGCCACGCTAATTATATTAGTTACGCAGTGACTGTTGCTTACAGCACGAGTATCTTTCTGTAGCCAAGTTGGAGACGATACACATTTTTATGCCCCGCGAGCTGAACCTTATGGGTGTACAGTGCTTCGAATCCCCGAGCAAGATGACGCGACTGCATCATCGCTATATATCGTCTTCCTATATAATCGTTATGTCCTCGAGTCTTGAAGATTAAACCATCCCACGTGTTTTGTGAGTCATGGGGATCATTACGGCTCTAGTCCGACCCCACAATATTTCACGATGAGCAATGCTCCCTTCATGCATCATTTAGGCTAAGTTCCTGTTGATAATAATAGTTACACCCCTCTACTTGACTTTTTGGGTCCGCCTTTGCTTTTGCAAAGAAAAACACAGCCCTGACACGTCAATCTCAGGTTTTAATCATCAAAATTCCCGTTTGAATATCTTTGTTCCATCTTTAACCATATTAGGCAAAAAGTTCAACCACCAATGCCTGGCTCACAGAAACATACACCTAACACAATGCAGTTAACTTGTCCAGTTTCGTCAATTTCGATGCGATGACTCAACGTTGTTTTCCCATTTCCCGAGGTTAATGGGCCCAGTGGATCAACCGGGACGCTGAAACCCCATTGTAGTCCCCCTCGGTTGCAAAGATTACAAACCGCCGGTAAATGCTGGATCACCGTGACGCACTCTAGGCTTTTGTGTACTGAGTGTGTCGCGATTGCATTCAACAACCCGGACAAAACTCGGATAAATCTGGGGTTGCGCCCCCAGGCTGGCCAAGCTGTATAGCCAGCAAGAAATGAGACAGAGGGGTACCCCTCCCCGCATATCCGATCGCTACACACACCCTAGACTATCGTTTTACATCCCCCCTAGATGCCTGAAAAGAATCCCTCAGATTCCAGTGAAACAACAGTAAGCGGCGGGGGGGGTCTCTCCGTCTCACATCCCGCTTCATTATGTGCCAAGCAGGGAGGAAAAATCAAGGATGTTGACAAATTTTGGAAGTTGTCTTCATGTAAAGTTTCCTAGGTGTAGATTAAAGTCTGATTATTTGGGAAAAGGTCTCTTTTATGATACATGACGCGTCTTTGATCAGATCCTAGACTGTGTGGGGAAGATGATAATGAAGTGACATATCTGTCAGACAGTATTTGCTTTCTGATACTGACAGAGACGGAAACTACAGGGAGGGCAGATGGTAGGGCGGAGGTAAAGGAGAGCGGGAGGTGAGGGTGGGGATTTCAAGAATTTTAAAGTGTCTATGCAATAGCTGATACATACAACTTAATGTTCTATATACCGAAACCTTATTTGCAATCTTTTTGTCAATTTAAAGTGCATTTTGACGCCTTTTGTGTCTAACGTCAGTTTCTAAATTCAAGTGTAAAAAACTACCATGTCATTCTGTGATGTCTTTCTGTCACTAACGTGAGTTGCGCACATCACACGGCTATACTTCTGGTCTTCAGGGAACCTTCACTTTGAACTTTCAACGTGAACAAAAAGCCTCGGAAATGGCATCGGATCTCATCAGCTGGACCCATTCACATGAAGGACCCATTCACAACATGTCCATTTAAGTCCCCAATTTAAAGTATGTATGGTTGCATAGGCCTACCCTTGAAAACATGTTACCCAAGCCATCGATTTTCGGAAACATCATCGACTGTATGATAGCCCGTTTAATTTAGGGTTGGTTTCAACACCACAAAAATAAAATACCAACGCCTCAGTCAGGAAGTGACATTTGCAGAACACTTCAGGGTGGATCAAATAAACCAAGTGCAACATGATACTCGGCTCCCCTTGAAGAAAAGAACAGGTACTTGATGTTTCTGAGTGAAATCGTTCTTTGCGTTACCCATTGTAATTGCGACTATAACAGCCGTGACTTCGGACCAGCTGTGGCTGTCACCAATGGGTGTCAGCCCCATCCGATAACCCCACCTGAGACACCACCCCTGGCGAGATTTTTCCGGGAGTGATTAGTGGCAACTCAGTCTAAAGGAAAAAAGAGCAAGTGCCATATTCCATTTAGTAGTGTTTCCGCAAAAATTTGCACAGCCTTGGAATCCAAGTCGGCTATGGCGCC